ACCTCAGCGGCTGCACGCTCCGGCTCGCAGTGCCAGTCCTTGGGGTTGGGGGCCGATGTTCCCCCGAAAGGGGTCGCATAGACCTCCGCCCCGGATCAGCCTCTTTGAGCGCTACCGAGTCCGGTACCCCCCTGCTTCGTCCCATATGTCTTGGGAACCAGAAGAGTTTCTTCTTTGTCTTCTTTCTTGTTGCTTTGGTGGTATGTTTTGTTTTTGTTTCTTCGCCCTTCCCCTTTCTTCATGCGACCCTGCTGGCGATGACTTGTTCAGAGCGAAAGGCGCCGACAGACTCGCCAGCCGCACACCGACCAGTTGCACCCCAACGCTGGGCACGCCGAGCTGCCGGCCGCACTCCTGGCGGCACCTGCAATATTGGCGAAATGCCTTCACTTTGACACCCCCTGCCGCCGTCCCCACGGCAGAACTCGGCCGGGTCGCTGCCCGAGCAGACCAACACCACGTGCTGGCCCGGCATGCCCGGACTTGTCGAAAACCTCGGCGGCGGCACTCGCGTCTGAAAAGCGCCGCGGCCGAAACAGTGCGGGCCGGCGACGGCTGGAGAACACCTGCAGGCTGTAAAGTTGTTGTCTCCTGTCGCCCGCCGCCGCCCGGCCGTGCCCGGCCCAGGCGGCTCGGCTGCACTTCCTAGGAACTGGATGGGCAGCGACCGCCCCCCTCCCTCCCCGGTGATTGGCATGTTGTGCGCGGATCGTAGACAAAGGACCAGGCGGCCAAAAGGGGCCGTCCCGCTGCTGACGTCCGCTGACGGTCGGGTCCTCTCGTGCGCGGCCCCGTCGCCGCATCGTAGGGGCACAAGTCGCCGGTTTTGGTCTTCGGCCGCAAGGGGTCGGGCTGGGTTAGTCGCGCCGTTGGTCCCTCCCGCGTGGACACGGCGTGCGTGGTGCATGGCCAAAGCCCTCCCCCTCGGTCACACTGCAGCCAGCGCCGCCAGCGTCTCGCGGATAAACCTGTGGAAAAACCCGCCACCAGGCTGTGGAAGTTGTCCGGGGCTGCGTTCCGCGTGGTTAGCTGCTGCTGGGCCCCTCGTTCGGTTTGCAGGGCCGCGGGGCGCGCCTACGGCCCCATCTCATGTCCTAGTACCCGCGGCCGTGACAGTGGGTGCACCCGCGCAGGGCAAAGCTGGCTGGGAGTCGGCGCCCGGCCGCCGTTGCAACAAGAGGAAAATCCACGCGGCGCCGGGAAATCCTTGGTGACGTCGACCCGGTGCTCGGCATGGTGAACGCGCGGGGGATTCTGGGAAACTGCGGCCTCTCTCCTCACGCAGCCGTCCGTCGCAGCTCACCTTGCCCTTGACCGAGACGCCACAATCTGACCTTCCGCATGCTCTCCGGCCGGCGACAGCTGATTCCTGTGGATTCGGGTACTCCAGCAACCGGCAGTCCCATTTCTTCAGGTGCCCGATCCTGGGGGGGGACCCTGCGCCTCGCCCACGCTGAGGCCTGGAGCCGCGACTGCACCCTCACCAACAGCGGCGACCCCGTCACTCCCGACCGTCACAGCGCCACGCACAAACCGGGAGCGACACACACACACGCACACACACACATCATCGCCATCGCTATCGTACACATCGCCGACCAGTAGAACCGCCGCGTCGCGGCCGCGGTCAGGGAAGCTGGAGACGCCGGGCGGCGCCATTCTCCAGTCCGCAGCCTGTAAACACTCGGGGCGCCCTTGCCCGGGTGACCGGCGGTCACCCCAAACCTTGAGTTGCAGGGGGCGCGCGGAGCCCCCCTTCCCTTTCACTCCCTCTCGCTCCGGCCCGCGTCCTGCGTCGGATGGCCTGGCTGGAGTCTCCTCGCGTCGCGTCGTCCTCTGCGTGAAGGGCTTGCGGCGCTGCGACGAAGTCTCTCGGCGCTGGGCTTGTAGTATCCTCAGGATGTGGGTGGTAGCACGGCACGATTTCTAACCCTACCGATAGACTCGCGGCACTACACTGGCTAGCCCGGCGGCGCGGCTGCCTGGTTTGACTCGGTCCTCCGTCCCGCGCTACGCGCCACGTGCAGCTTTGCCTGCGCCGACGGCCGTCCCAGCCAAGGGAGGCCGATTTCGCGTCCCTTTGCCCGGCAGCCAGGGGACGACCTGCTCCGGCCGCTGCCTGCTTGAGACTCCCGCCTACCTCTCCTGTTGCAGGCGCTCAACGGCGTGGCAGGCAGAGAGCCTCAGAGCAGAGCCGAGGCGGCAAAGAGTGCGCGATTTTTCATAGTAGCTGGACGTAGCCTCTAGTCGTTGCCTTTCTTAGCCCATCTGAACTGCAATAATGGTTCAGTCAACGTCAGCTGAGAGGAGTCGCCTTGCGCCTGGCACAACCATTTTTAGATTAAATGTACACATTAAAATAAAATTATGACCTTTTTTTTCGGCCAGATTTAGTGTTTCAGAGTAACTATGTAATCACTTGATTTAACAGAAAATATTTAAAAATAATCAAAATTTATTTATTAATTTCGAGCAGTTGTGCACCGATTTTCAAAGAATTAGCAGTGTATTTTTGCGGACTTCACCGAAATTTGTTTATTAAGATATATAATTTCGAGCAACTGTGTAGATATTATAACAGGGACTGCCTATGAGTTATGCACACATCACCAAAATTAGACATTTGTATTAAAGAGGATAATGTGGCATTTTCGGGCAACTGTGCTTATATGGGCTGAGCCAGCCCGTTAAGGATACATAAGCGTGGGGAAATTAAACACATCCACGACGGTATTCCCTCCTCCTGGGACTCTGATTCCTCTGGAGCCTCACAATCCTCCGGGAGCACTTCCTCCTGGGACGGCACCTCCTTCTGGGACGGCACCTCTTGCGCCACCTCCACACTATTTTCACCGCACTTGCAGAGGCTGTCAACAGATCTGCAGCACCAGCGTCGACACTGTCTTATGATGACTGCAACAAACAAAGCACAGATTTAATTCACGGAACGGGTTCACGACCGACAGCGAGTGGACTAGAAATGTTTTTCTGCCTTTAGAGCTCTTGCGGAGATCCAGGCAGGTAGAGATTTGCCTGGAACATGCGCAAGTGGTGGCTGGAGGTATGGGTCGCAGTTGGGACATTGCAACAAGTAAGTACCTCCGACGTCCATCGGATCTTTGCCGAGGCTCCAGGTACCTCTAGAGTACCACACTCCACGAATTGGGCTGGAGCTTTGCATAAGGATTCCTTCTGGCAAGCCGGGAGCCTTGGCTCCCCACCCACTCGCATCCTCCCGGCCCCCACCTCCCCCACCTCGGCAGGCCGTTCCGAGTGCATATCGGGATCCTACAGAAATCAACAGTCGAAGTTTGACACATGAGAGCTTTCGGCCAATCAGGATACGCGCTGCCCCAGACCAACTTTTCGTAGGCAACATCGGGCAGGCATTGGTCAAGTACCGGGCAACTATGCGCAACTACGGGCAACTGCCGGGCAACTACGGGCAACTGCCGGGCAACTACGGGCAACTGCCCGAGCAACTCGGGGCAACTGCCGGGCAACCACCGGGCAACTCCGAGCAACTCCGAGCAACTGCCGGGCAACTATGGGCAACCACCGGGCAACTGCCGGGCAACTGCCGGGCAACTGTGCGCCCGAGCACAGCTCGCGGGCAACTGAAGGAAGATGTCGGAAAACATCAGTTCAATAGGTCGGTTTTGACACCCCTTTTTAAAGGCGTAGCAAAAACATGCTAAAATCGACCTATTTTATTCTGCAGATCAGCCATTTCGAGTCTAAATCTATGACATATGGGTATCTTGCTTTTCATCTCGTTGAGACGAACACTACAAACCTAACTGTCTACTAAGTACACACTTACAAATGCATGCTTGCAAGTACACACTTACAAGCCAAGTACACACTTACAAACGCATGCTTGCAAGTACACACTTACAAACGCATGCTTGACGCATGGAGTTATACGGCGTCAAGCATGCGTTTGTAAGTGTGTACTTGCAAGCATGCATTTGTAAGTGTGTACTTGGCTAAGCATGCGTTTGTAAGTGTGTACTTGCAAGCACGCATTTGTAAGTGTGTACTTAGTAGACAGTTAGGTTTGCAGTGAATCCATTTGCGACATCAGTTTTTCATCTCCACATATTTGATTTTTCACCTCTTTTCTGTCAATAGTACTAAAAATCTCCATTCAAGAAACGTTCATGGAAGCAGATGATACTCGTCTGGTACTGTCGTGTGTGCTATAGTTTTGACAGTATGCTCGCATGTTTGTGATTATATATAAAATTGTAAATAAGGGTTAGAACATATATGATTGGGGGAGTGAGTGTCGATGTTGGTCCTTGCCGCGCGGGGCCGAGCTGAGGAGACGGTGCCATTGTTTACGCCCGGTGCCGCTGGCGCTGTACCCGGGGGAGGAGTTATCGATGTTTCGCGCACATTGTTGACCGTGCATCAAGCACTCACTGTCCCGCTCTCGAGTAAAAGCTAGCTGACACCTTTAACTGTCTTGTATTGTTCTAAGTATGTTTAAGTAGTAAAGGTATCATCTGCTAAAAATACCGGACTACGAAGTTTGAGGGGATCTGAAAAGAGTATCATAAACCGTGCAGGAACCCGACCGCTACCTGCCTCGGACTCCTCAGGCCTCCGCGAATTCCCCCCCCCCCCCCCACACACACACACTTCCCCTCTCCGATTCGTTGGACCAGCCCGAAGGCATTCTTCGGGTCTTGGGGCCCCGTCATAGTCAGAAAAAGGCTGAGAGTGTGTCCCGTACGTATACGAAACTTTGGCATGTTCGAAGCTCAAATCCTTGATAATTTCGAATCTAAGTTTATGTGTTATCTAAGTTTATAAAATCAAATATGTGGAAATGAAAAACTGATGTCGGAAATGGATTCATCTCAACGAGATGAAAAGCAAGATACCCATATGTCATAGGTTTAGACTCGAAATGGCTGATCTGCAGAATAAAATAGGTCGATTTTAGCATGTTTTTGCTACGCCTTTAAAAAGGGGTGTCAAAACCGACCTATTGAACTGATGTTTTCCGATATCTTCCTTCAGTTGCCCGCGAGCTGTGCTCGGGCGCACAGTTGCCCGGCAGTTGCCCGGCAGTTGCCCGGTGGTTGCCCATAGTTGCCCGGCAGTTGCTCGGAGTTGCTCGGAGTTGCTCGGAGTTGCCCGGTGGTTGCCCGGCAGTTGCCCCGAGTTGCTCGGCAGTTGCCCGTAGTTGCCCGGCAGTTGCCCGTAGTTGCCCGGCAGTTGCCCGTAGTTGCGCATAGTTGCCCGGTACTTGACCAATGCCTGCCCGATGTTGCCTGCGAAAAGTTGGTCTGGGGTGGGGCGGTGCTGCAGCCAGCGTAGGGAGTGGAAGGTGCGCGTCGGGGTCTTCCGAAGCAAGGTTCTGTGGTCTCAGGCCGAGCGTTTGCGCGACGAAGCCACAAGGATCTGGGGTCGACCCACTACGTCAGAGGATTAACCATGCGTCGCATGGTCATTCGCAGTGTCATCGGAAAACTGAAGCGGTTCGTTTCTACGGTGGAGGATACAGTCATAAATTACATTTAAAAATAATACGATTTCACGAAATCCTGGTAGTCACAAAGTAAATTTCATTTATATTCTAGTTCCACGAAAATGTCTAAAGCTAGAATTGCGTTCAGCGAGGTCATATCATGTTTGCTTCAGTACCACTATCAATTAAACTAAAACTTACGAAAAGGGCCAGGAGCGTTTCAATTTGGTTCAAAATGGACATTGTAAGACTGTCTAAAATACATGAGGGTCAGGTTAGGCACAGAACGTGCAGAAAATTGGGTGTCATCGTGATCAGCATATCGAAAACTACCGGTCTAAATGTAAAACTCAATACAGTTGCACTTTATCACAAACTCAAACCGAGACGTAAACAACAGCGGCAGCAGTGTCGTCTGCTGGGCAAGAGCTGAAGGCAGTGCCACCAACAGAATGTATTGCCAACTGCGCACTTGCTAAACATTAATCACCTGCTAACAATTTCAAACGCAATAAATCGCAAAACGGGGTGGCCCAAAAGTGGCCCAAAAAGCCTTTACGTAATTATTGAACGGCCTCTAAGAGTTGTTCTTGACCGTTTCATTACCCAGAAAAGTGACACCCAAAATTTTAGTTCTCATGTTCTATTTGTTTTCGATGCATACAGACATCAGGCAAACTTTCTGGTTACAAACAGAATAGGCCTCGACATTGGACAGCAAAAAAGCTTGATAAAGTACTTACGTGGGGCGTGTGTCACGACCGTGGCTGCACCATTAAAGCTGCAAGTGCCTTCGGCTCGGCCGTGGTCCAGGTAGTATTTGTTGAAGGCGTAGGACGCATGCGCCTCCAGCGTGTCCGGGTGGAAACAGGAGGCGCCTGGCTGGATGGGGCCGCAGTCCACCCCTCCTGGTCCGCAAACCCAATCAAGACCGCTCTGGAGCTTGTCGCGTCCGGCGTCACTGGCCACGCACCACGTGTCACCAGAGACCTGTGGCGGCAAAGGAGTTTCCGGCCCGCCGGCACAAATATCTGCGAAACGGGACAGAATTCAACATGTTAATAAACCAAACGAAAAGTACACATGAACAGGTCTCCAAGAAGCACACTTCGCCTGATGTCTCCTAAACCTAAAGGTAGGTGTACGTTGGACTACAAGTCGCATAACGGGGTTGGCGAGGTTACGCTGCTGCGCGCCCGTGACATCTTCTGAGGCCTGTAGCGCAATGGTTAATTGAACGCTCAAGAATAACTCTTAGGGGCTGTTTAATAATTATGTACTGGCTTTTAGGGCCAACTGTTTAGCGATTAGCGCTCTACGATCCTGGTTCAGCCGGGGAAACTTTCTTGAAGCAACCTTTTCTAACCTAGCATAATCACCCCGTTAAAGAAGGCACTTAACCAGTCTTCTTCGAAACTTTGGTCCAAAACAGTCCAAAACTGTATTTTATATTGGTCAGGGGTCCAAAGGGCTGTCACTTTCATGAACAGGAGGCCAAAAACATGAGAAAACTGTGCTACACTCAGCTTCGAAATTTTGGTCCGAATCTGTCCAAAATCGCATTAAAAATTGGTCAGTGATCCAAATGGAAGTCCTTCATGATGAAGGAGGCAAAAACATTAGGAAACTATGTCAAAACTTTACTTTGAAATTTTGTTTCAAAACCACCTAAACTTGCATAAAATACTGGTCAGGGGTCCGAATAAGTGTCAATTTCATGACCAGTACGCAATCATTGGGAAAATATATGTAAACTGTACTTTTTAGTTTCGTTTGAAAACTGTCCAAAACTGAATTTAACATTGGTAAGGTGTCCAAAAAGATGGCTCTTTCATGTCCAGGAGGCGAAAAACATTAGGAAAATATTTTAAACTTTACTTCAAAATTGTAGTGCAAAACTGCCCAACTCAATATTGGTCAGGGGTCCAAATGGATGTCTTTTTCATGATCAGGGTGGCAAAAACGTAAGAAAACTATGTCAAACATAACTTTGAAATTTGGTTTCAAATTAACGATGATTGATTTTCATTGGTAAAGTGCACATTGCACTACCGATACTTTTCTGAACACCCTTATATTTTCCCTGCTTAGAGAAACTACAAAAGCACGCACGCACCCTTGCTTAAGATTCCATACCAGGCTGCTGTCTAAAAATTAAGGTTCCAGATGATAATTTTATTCCTGAATGGGTTTGAACAAACCAGAATGGAAATTGGATTCCACTGTGGAAAGTCTGATTTTCATGGCGAGACTCCCATGATAGGTTTTAATTGAAATCCAGTATGGATTTTTTCATTTCGAGCCTCGATTTTGTGAACTTTGTCCGCTAGGTGGCGCTAGTGTCGCCTTTTTTTGTCCTGAAGCAGAAAAAACATTCTCCTAGCTGAAAGGAAGTGCTCTTATACTTCAAAATAAGTGGATACTGAAGGGTCTACATGAGAGTTATGAAATTCTATGTGAAGGACATCTGTATCAGTATTACAGGCTGAGTTACTTCTCGCTTGCGACCAAGGTTCCCAATTCCCTAAGTCGAGAGACTTTAATTCCAGAGGACCATGTGACAAGTTCTGGACATCCATCTTGCACATCAAATAGTTTTTGATGCAGTTGCACCTTCATCATTTTGGTGCCTGGTCCACTGCTTAGCTGGCTTCAGCTTATCGAAGGGATAGGCTATCTAAATTTTTGGCTTAATTCAATTTTTTCTAGTGTGCGTCCTAAAAAATCCACATTCTAGGAGATTAGTGGGCCACAATAGGCACACTCTATTTGGAAGTCACTGCGGATAGCTGTATAAACATACTCGCTACGCTCGCTGGGGGGCTCCGCCCCCCAGGCCCCCCTGTGCGGCCCTTTGGCCCGCTGGGTGTTCTCTAGCGGGAGTGGGTCTTTGGCAGTTGTTTGCCTTTCGGCATGCTCGGGGTTAGCTTACGCTTGTGCCGTGTTCATGGAGCTGCTTTTGTCAGGTCAATTTGCCGTCGTCAAGGAGCAGCTTATGTCAGATAACTTTGCCGCTTTCATGGAGCATCTTGAGGTCACTTTGCCGTCTCCTCAGAGTAGCTTGTGTGAGGTCACTTTGCCGACTTCACGAAGCAGCTTGTATCAGATCACTTTGCCGTCTCCATTGAGCAGCTTATGTCAGATCACTGTGCTCACTTCACGGAGCAGCTTATGCCAGATCACTTTGACGCTTTCACGGAGCAGGTTCTGTCAGGTCACTTCGACTTCTCTATGAGAAGCTTGCGTCAGGTCACTTTGCCGTCTCCTCAGAGTAGCTTGTGTGAAGTCACGTTGCCGACTTCACGGAGTAGCTTATGCCAGATCACTTTGTCGCTTTCATGGAGCAGTTTCTGTCAGATCAATTTGCCGTATTCAAAGAGCAGCGTGAGGTCACTTTTGCCGTCCTCCCAGAGCATCTTGTGTCAGGTCACTTTGCTGACTTCACGAAGTACCTTGTGTTAGGTACCTTTGCTATCTCCATGGAGCCGCTTGTATCGAATTACTTTGCCGTCCTCATGGAGCACCTTGCGGGAGGTCATTTTGACTTCCCCTCAGAGTATCTTGTGTGAGGTCACTTTGCCAACTTTACGATGCAGATTACAAGCAAAATTGTTTCATATCTATTTTGAAGAAATAATGCTGACGCATCCCAAAAAGCTAGAACCCCTGAAAAGTAATCAACCGAAAAAGTAATCAAATCTGAAATATTTCTCGTCCGAATTAAAAGTAGGAAATGATTTCGTTACCTTCCCAAGAAAGTGTCCCATATGGACAGATGGCGCCCCTGCCTAGTAGGCAACCACTGGATCAGAGAACCCACAAAATCTAGAGAACTGATGGTCTCAGAAAAAAAAGTAATAGAAGCTAAATCATTTCTTTTTTAAAAGTAAATCGATTTTGTTTTATCTTGACTACCCAGGAAAGTAGTCTTGTTTGAGATTTGAAAACGCCTGTGAGGTAGGCAACCAGTGTAAGCCGAAATCTCGAGAACCGTACATCCTACAGAAAAAGTACTAAAAGCGAAAGTGTTCCTCGTCAAAAATAAGGAGTAGCGTACGCAATGATGACATAGCTCAGAAGTCGTCTTGCACAAGAAATCGGCAACGAAAAGAAAAAGTAGTGAAAATCCTGCCGCTTTATATGAAGAAAAGCCCAAAATCTCGAGAACAGAAGGGCGCATCAAGACGATACATAGTTCAGAAGAAAGGAAATTAAATTCGAGGGGGAGCGTACGCTTTAATGACCCATCTAAGACGCATCCTGCTTGGTAAAAGTGAGATCGGCGAGTCACGGGTGACACCGGACGGCGTGGAATTGCACGTCACCCGCACACTGCAGGCCTTATGGGAAAGTAGTTTTCCGCCGTTTCGGCGGGAAAGGGATGAGAAAAAGTAAAATCTGTCAATTTTTCGCTTTCCAATTGTTGAAATAACAGGAAAAGTAGCGATATACATCGGCAACTTTGGCCCGTCCCGTACATTAAGAAACGTACGAATTTCGCCTGTTTGACCCTGCCGGGAGTTAAACCTGAGTCTGGGGTTAAAATAAATGTCGTTTTCGTCATCAGCTCCCTCAAAAACACCAGAAACAATGCAAAAACTCGAATAAAAACAATGATCAAAAACACCCCGCTAGGATTTGAACCCGGGTCCGAACTTCTCCGATTCACTCGAAACTGGCACCATTGGTTTGTTCTCGTCGTCCCAATTCCAAAAATACCCCTACATGCCCTCCTAGCTGCATCCGTTGCCGAGATCCTCCTCGACCCTATGTAGACCATGATGCACCTGCAGCAGCGCCCCCGGTGCTCGGATCGGATTTGCTGCCACCGGGCGGTTCTTAGGGTCACCCAAGAAGGCTGCATACCTAATTTGGTCAAGATCGGACCACGGGAAGTCCTCGGACGGACGGACGGGCGCACAGCAGGGATCATAATATGCCCGTCCCTCCGTCATTTTTTTACAAAAAATAAACGGGACGGGCCAAAAACGAATCGATTGGTGCTGAAACGAAGAAAATCGGTCGGGCCGTTCTCGCTGTGGTTGCCGGTTGCATGTCGCTTACTCAGTCTTGAGGAGGGGTGTATATTTTTTTGGAAGCCTCATTTGTCTGTATAAATCACCAGATTCAGTGTTCGGGCGATTTCCATTTCCACGAGTGTAAATCCATACTGGGAATCGGAAATCGACAATGGAATTCATAAAATTCCATCTGGAAAAAGGTTCCAAATCCCAGCTGGATTTCAGATCCCTCTGGATTCTTCTTTCCACAGTGGAAAAATCTAAATGAATTTCCAGGTGGAATTTTAAGCTGGGAAAAGTGACACCCAACATCTCAGTTCTCATGTATAATTTGTTTTCGAATTCTCGTACATACCGACATCAGGCGAACTTTCTGGTTACAAACAGAATAGGCTTCGACCGGCCTCGACATTGGACAGCAAAAAAGCTTGATAAAGTACTTACGTGGGGCGTGTGTCACGACCTTGGCTGCACCATTAAAGCTGCAAGTGCCTTCGGCTCGGCCGTGGTCCAGGTAGTATTTGTTGAAGGCGTAAGACGCATGCGCCTCCAGCGTGTCCGGGTGGAAACAGGAGGCGCCTTGGCTGGATGGGGCCGCAGTCCACCCCTCCTGGTCCGCAAGCCCAATCAAGACCGCTCTGGAGCTTGTCGCGTCCGGCGTCACTGGCCACGCACCACGTGTCACCAGAGACCTGTGGCGGCAAAGGAGTTTCCGGCCCGCCGGAACAAATATCTGCGAAACGGGACAGAATTCAACATGTTAATAAACCAAACGAAAAGTACACCTGAACAGGTCTCCAAGAAGCACACTTCGCCTGATGTCTCCTTAACCTAAAGGTAGGTGTACGTTGGACTACAAGTCTCATATCGGGGTTGGCGAGGTTACGCTGCTGCGCGCCCGTGACATCTTCTGAGGCCTTTGGCACTATGGTTAATTGAACTCTTAGGGGCTGTTCAATAATTGATCCAGGAAGCGGAAGAAGGGAATAACTTGACTTATCCCCAAATTGAGTTTTCTATTTTATTATTGTGCCTTAGAATGGTTTACATCATACACCAAATTATTTGACTCAATTCCTAGCAGTTTATGAGAAAATCCACATGGAAAAAGGGTATGACTAAACTTAACCCCTTTTACGGTCTAACTTTCATCGGAAAATGGAGATAACTCAACCGAAGCCCACATGAGTCCGTTTGACAGATTGGCAAAAGGATATAACTCAACTTGTATTTTTATGAATCTGGTGTAAAACGAATGAACTCATTTTAACCCACCCAAACTTTTCAATTTTAATTTGGAAAGAAGAGCTAAGTCCAAAAAATACACCAGAGTAACATACACTTTATGCAGATTATTGTTTCACTTGGCTTGTCTCCAAATTCCTCTGTGTTTAGGAAATGTAAGGTGAGCTGACTCTGTTTTTCATTTCAACGGGAAGTGATAAGTGGCAGAAACCCTTTTACGGAGTGAATTTACACTTTTGATTTTCCCCCCAAAATTTCACTTATGCTTTTTGAAATTATAATCATCTGCAACATTCATTTGTCTCATTTTAGACTCCCTGCGAACAGTTTTTTGTTTCACCTGGAAAATGGTCAAAATTGAGTTACCCCCTTCTTCCGCTTCCTGGATCCAAAATTGCATTTAACATTGGTCAGGTGTCAAAAAAGTTGTCTCTTTTATGTTCGGGAGGCAAAAAACATTAGGAAAATACTTTAAACTCTACTTTTAAATTGTAGTCCAAAACTGTCCAATACAACATTGGTCAAGGGTCCTAATGGATGTCTTTTTCTTGATCAGGGTGATAAAAACGTAAGAAAACCATGTCAATTATAACTTGGACATTTTAATTCCAAATTGGCGATGGTTGATTTTCATTGGTAAAGTGCACTTTGCACTACCAATACTTTTCTGAACACCCTACAATTTTCCCTGCTCAAAGAAACTACAAAAGCACGCACGCACCCATGCTTAAAATTCCATACCAGGCTGCTGTCTGGAAATTAAGGGGGCAGTAGGTTCTTTAGAACGTATTTTGATGATTTACGAACCTCCTGTTCAGACCTCAACGAAAAGACAGGTATAAATGCTAGAGACAACGGCAGGCACCATGTTAAAGTCCGAATTTTTAACAACATTTTCGAAAAAAAATCCGTTTAGCCCTTAATTAGGGTGACTTACGATTAATGCAAAAACGTTCTGCAAAATTACATGGTGTCACTGCGCGCACGATTTCTGCCAAAGTTTTTAATTTTTTTCCAATCGGTAAAATGCATCTGAAAAAGCATGAAATTTGCCCACAAAATTACCCTTGGGTTTTTATATTGGGGAAGGGAAACCATCGAAACGGCCATCTTCAATTTCAGATTGAAACAAATCACATTTTTTCTCGTCCAATATTGAAACCCAAGGGTCATTTTGTAGGCAATTAAATGCTATTTCAGATAGAATCCCAGAGGGATTTCAGATTCTTCTTTCCGCAGCGGAAAAATCTAGATAAATTTCCAGGTGGCAATTTTAGCTGGGAAAAAGTGACACCCAAATTTTTAGGTCTCATGTTCAATTTGTTTTCTCATTCTCGTGCATTCAGACATCAGGCAAACTTTCTGGTTAGAGACAGAATAGGCTTGACATTGGACAGCAAAAAAGCTTGATAAAGTACTTACGTGGGGCGTGTGTCACGACCTTGGCTGCACCATTAAAGCTGCAAGTGCCTTCGGCTCGGCCGTGGTCCAGGTAGTATTTGTTGAAGGCGTAAGACGCATGCGCCTCCAGCGTGTCCGGGTGGAAACAGGAGGCGCCTGGCTGGATGGGGGCCGCAGTCCACCCCTCCTGGTCCGCAAACCCAATCAAGACCGCTCTGGAGCTTGTCGCGTCCGGCGTCACTGGCCACGCACCACGTGTCACCAGAGACCTGTGGCGGCAAAGGAGTTTCCGGCCCGCCGGAACAAATATCTGCGAAACGGGACAGAATTCAACATGTTAATAAACCAAACGAAAAGTACACCTGAACAGGTCTCCAAGACGCACACTTCGCCTGATGTCTCCTTAACCTAAAGGTAGGTGTACGTTGGACTACAAGTCTCATAACGGGGTTGGCGAGGTTACGCTGCTGCGCGCCCGTGACATCTTCTGAGGCCTGTGGCACTATGGTTAAAATTGAACGGTCAAGAACAACTCTTAGGGGCTGTTCAATAATTGATCCAGGAAGCGGAAGAAGGGAATAACTTGACTTATCCCCAAATTGAGCTTTCTATTTTATTATTGTGCCTTAGAATGGTTTACATCATACACCAAATTATTTGACTCAATTCCTAGCAGTTTATGAGAAAATCCACATGGAAAAAGGGTATGACTAAACTTAACCCCTTTTACGGTCTAACTTTCATCGGAAAATGGAGATAACTCAACCGAAGCCCACATGAGTCCGTTTGACAGATTGGCAAAAGGATATAACTCAGCTTGTATTTTTATGAATCTGGTGTAAAACGAATGAACTCATTTTAACCCACCCAAACTTTTCAATTTTAATTTGGAAAGAAGAGCTAAGTCCAAAAAATACACCAGAGTAACATACACTTTATGCAGATTATTGTTTCACTTGGCTTGTCTCCAAATTCCTCTGTGTTTAGGAAATGTAAGGTGAGCTGACTCTGTTTTTCATTTCAACGGGAAGTGATAAGTGGCAGAAACCCTTTTACGGAGTGAATTTACACTTTTGATTTTCCCCCCCAAAATTTCACTTATGCTTTTTGAAATTATAATCATCTGCAACATTCATTTGTCTCATTTTAGACTCCCTGCGAACAGTTTTTTGTTTCACCTGGAAAATGGTCAAAATTGAGTTACCCCCTTCTTCCGCTTCCTGGATCCAAAATTGCATTTAACATTGGTCAGGTGTCAAAAAAAGTTGTCTCTTTTATGTTCGGGAGGCAAAAAACATTAGGAAAATACTTTAAACTCTACTTTTAAATTGTAGTCCAAAACTGTCCAATACAACATTGGTCAAGGGTCCTAATGGATGTCTTTTTCTTGATCAGGGTGATAAAAACGTAAGAAAACCATGTCAATTATAACTTGGACATTTTAATTCCAAATTGGCGATGGTTGATTTTCATTGGTAAAGTGCACTTTGCACTACCAATACTTTTCTGAACACCCTACAATTTTCCCTGCTCAAAGAAACTACAAAAGCACGCACGCACCCATGCTTAAAATTCCATACCAGGCTGCTGTCTGGAAATTAAGGGGGCAGTAGGTTCTTTAGAACGTATTTTGATGATTTACGAACCTCCTGTTCAGACCTCAACGAAAAGACAGGTATAAATGCTAGAGACAAACGGCAGGCACCATGTTAAAGTCCGAATTTTTAACAACATTTTCGAAAAAAAATCCGTTTAGCCCTTAATTAGGGTGACTTACGATTAATGCAAAAACGTTCTGCAAAATTACATGGTGTCACTGCGCGCACGATTTCTGCCAAAGTTTTTAATTTTTTTCCAATCGGTAAAATGCATCTGAAAAAGCATGAAATTTGCCCACAAAATGACCCTTGGGTTTTTATATTGGAGAAGGAAAAACCATCGAAACGGCCATCTTCAATTTCAGATGGAAACAAATCACATTTTTTCTCGTCCAATATTGAAACCCAAGGGTCATTTTGTGGGCAATTAAATGCTATTTCAGATAGAATCCCAGAGGGAATTCAGATCCCTCTGGATTCTTCTTTCCGCAGCGGAAAAATCTAGATAAATTTCCAGGCGGCAATTTTAGCTGGGAAAAAGTGACACCCAAATTTTTAGTTCTCATGTTCTATTTGTTTTCGATGCATACAGACATCAGGCAAACTTTCTGGTTACAAACAGAATAGGCCTCGACATTGGACAGCAAAAAAGCTTGATAAAGTACTTACGTGGGGCGTGTGTCACGACCTTGGCTGCACCATTAAAGCTGCAAGTGCCATCGGCTCGGCCGTGCGACTGGAAGTATTTGTTGAAGGCGTAGGACGCATGCGCCTCCAGCGTGTCCGGGTGGAAACAGGAGGCGCCTGGCTGGATGGGGCCGCAGTCCACCCCTCCTGGTCCGCAAACCCAATCAAGACCGCTCTGGAGCTTGTCGCGTCCGGCGTCACTGGCCACGCACCACGTGTCACCAGAGACCTGTGGCGGCAAAGGAGTTTCCGGCCCGCCGGAACAAATATCTGCGAAACGGGACAGAATTCAACATGTTAATAAACCAAACGAAAAGTACACCTGAACAGGTCTCCAAGAAGCACACTTCGCCTGATGTCTCCTTAACCTAAAGGTAGGTGTACGTTGGACTACAAGTCTCATAACGGGGTTGGCGAGGTTACGCTGCTGCGCGCCCGTGACATCTTCTGAGGCCTGTGGCACTATGGTTAATTGAACGGTCAAGAACAACTCTTAGGGGCTGTTCAATAATTGATCCAGGAAGCGGAAGAAGGGAATAACTTGACTTATCCCCAAATTGAGTTTTCTATTTTATTATTGTGCCTTAGAATGGTTTACATCATACACCAAATTATTTGACTCAATTCCTAGCAGTTTATGAGAAAATCCACATGGAAAAAGGGTATGACTAAACTTAACCCCTTTTACGGTCTAACTTTCATCGGAAAATGGAGATAACTCAACCGAAGCCCACATGAGTCCGTTTGACAGATTGGCAAAAGGATATAACTCAACTTGTATTTTTATGAATCTGGTGTAAAACGAATGAACTCATTTTAACCCACCCAAACTTTTCAATTTTAATTTGGAAAGAAGAGCTTAGTCCAAAAAATACACCAGAGTAACATACACTTTATGCAGATTATTGTTTCACTTGGCTTGTCTCCAAATTCCTCTGTGTTTAGGAAAGGCAAGGTGAGCTGACTCGGTTTTCCATTTCAACGGGAAGTGATAAGTGGCAGAAACCCTTTTACGGAGTGAATTTACACTTTTGATTTTCCCCCCAAAATTCCACTTATGCTTTTTGAAATTAAAATCATCTGCAACATTCATTTAACTTGTGTTAGACTCCCTGCTAACAGTTTTTTGTTTCACCTGGAAAATGGTCAAAATTGAATAATCCCCTTCTTCCGCTTCCTAAATCAATTTTATACTGGCTTTATGAGCCAACTGTTTGGCGATAAGCGCTCTACGATCGTGGTTCGGCCTGGGTAACTTTCTTAAGGCAATCACCCTGTTAAAGAAGGCACTTAACCCTGTGTCTGTAGTGTTCTTCGAAACTTTGGCCCCAAACTGTAATTAATGTTGGTCAGGGGTCCAAAGGGCTGTCACTTTCATGAACAGGAGGCCAAAAACATGAGAAAACTGTGCTAAACTCAGCTTCGAAATTTTGGTCCGAATCTGTCTAAAATCGCATTAAGTATTGGTCAGTGTTTCAAATGGAAGTCTTGTTCATGATGAAGGGGGCAAAAACATAAGAAAACTATGTCAAAACATTACTTTGAAATTTTGTTTCAAAACTATCTTAACTTGCATAAAATACTGGTCAGGGGTCCGAATGGATGTCAATTTCATGACCAGCACGCAAACATTAGGAAAATATATGTAAACTGTACTTTGAAATTTCGGTTGAAAACTGTCCAAAATTGCATTTAACGTTGTTCAGGTGTCAAAAAAGTTGTCTCTTTTATGTTCGGGAGGCAAAAAACATTAGGAAAATACTTTAAACTCTACTTTTAAATTGTAGTCCGAAACTGTCCAATTCAATATTGGTCTCAGCAAATGGATGTCTTTTTCTTGATCAGCGTGATAAAAACGTAAGAAAACCATGTCAATTATAACTTGGACATTTTAATTCCAAATTGGCGATGGTTGATTTTCATTGGTAAAGTGCACTTTGCACTACCAATACTTTTCTGAACACCCTACAATTTTCCCTGCTCAAAGAAACTACAAAAGCACGCACGCACCCATGCTTAAAATTCCATATCAGGCTGCTGTCTGGAAATTAAGGGGGCAGTAGGTTCTTTAGAACGTATTTTGATGATTTTCGAACCTCCTGTTCAGACCTCAATAAAAGGACAGGTATAAATGCTAGAGACAAACGGCAGGCACCATGTTAAAGTACGAACTTTTTACAACATTTTCAAAAAAAATATTTCCGTTTAGCCCTTAATTAGGGTGACTTACGATTAATGCAAAAACGATCTGCAAAATTACATGGTGTCACTGCGCGCACGATTTCTGCCAAAGTTTTTATTTTTTTTCCAATCGGTAAAATGCATCTGAAAAAGCTTAAAATTTGCCCACAAAATGACCCTTGGGTTTTAATTTTAGGGAAGGAAAACTATCAAAACGGCCATCTTCAATTTCAGATGGAAACAAATCACATTTTTTCTTGTCCAATATTGAAACCCAAGGGTCATTTTGTGGGCAATTTTATGCTATTTCAGATAGAATCCTAGAGAGATTTCAGATCTCTCTAGATTCTTCTTTCCACAGTGGAAAAATCTAAATAAATTTCCAAGTTGAAATTTTAGCTGGGAAAAAGTGACACCCAAAATTTTAGTTCTCATGTTCAACTTGTTTTCGAATTCTCGTGCATATAGACATCAGGCAAACTTTCTGGTTAGAGACAGAATAGGCTTGACATTGGACAGCAAAAAAGCTTGATAAAGTACTTACGTGGGGCGTGTGTCACGACCTTGGCTGCACCATCAAAGCTGCAAGTGCCTTCGGCTCGGCCGTGGTCCAGGTAGTATTTGTTGAAGGCGTAAGACGCATGCGCCTCCAGCGTGTCCGGGTGGAAACAGGAGGCGCCTGGCTGGATGGGGCCGCAGTCCACCCCTCCTGGTCCGCAAACCCAATCAAGACCGCTCTGGAGCTTGTCGCGTCCGGCGTCACTGGCCACGCACCACGTGTCACCAGTGACCTGTGGCGGCAAAGGAGTTTCCGGCCCGCCGGAACAAATATCTGCGAATCGGGACAGAATTCAACATGTTAATAACCAAACGAGAAGTAGACCTGAACAGGTCTCCAAGAAGCACACTTCGCCTGATGTCTCCTAAACCACAAGGCAACTGTATGTTGGACTACAACATTAGGGGATTGGCGAGGTTACGCTGCTGCGCGCCCGTGACATCTTCTGAGGCCTATGGCGCTATGGTTGGTTGAACGGTTAAGAACAACTCTTAGGGGCTGTTCAATAATTATGTACTGGCATTTTGGGCCAACTGTTAAGCGATAAGCGCTTTTTGATTGTGGTTCGGCCAGGGTGACTTTCTTGAAGCAACCTATTCTAACCTCACATAATCACCCTGTTAAAGAAGGCACTTAACCCTGTGTCTGTAGTCTTCTTGGAAACTTTGGTCCAAAACAGTCCAAAACTGTATTTTATATTGGTCAGGGGTCCAAAGGGCTGTCACTTTCATGAACAGGAGGCCAAAAACATGAGAAAACTGTGCTAAACTCAGCTTCGAAATTTTGGTCCGAATCTGTCCAAAATCGCATTGAGTTTTGGTCAGGGGTCCAAATGGAAGTCTTGTTCATCATAAAGGGGCCAAAACATTAGGAAACTATGTCAAAACTTAACTTAGAAATTTTGTTTCAAAACTATCTAAACTTGGATAAGATACTGGTCAGGGGTCCGAATGGATGTCAATTTCACGACCCAAATCCCAGCTGGATTTCAGATCTCTCTGGATTCTTCTTTCCACAGTGGAAAAATCTAAATGAATTTCCAGGTGAAAATTTCAGCTGGGAAAAAGTTACACCCAAAATTTTAGTTCTTATGTTTAATTTGCTTTTGAATTCTCGAGCATACAGACATCAGGCAAACTTTCTGGTTACAGGCAGAATAGGCTTCGACCGGCCTCGACATTGGACAGCAAAAAAGCTTGATAAAGTACTTACGTGGGGCGTGTGTCACGACCATGGCTGCCCCACCAAAGTGGCAAGTGCCATCGGCTCGGCCGTGCGACTGGAAGTATTTGTTGAAGGCGTAGGACGCATGCGCCTCCAGCGTGTCCGGGTGGAAACAGGAGGCGCCCGGCTGGATGGGGCCGCAGTCCACCCCTCCTGGTCCGCAAACCCAATCAAGACCGCTCTGGAGCTTGTCGCGTCCGGCGTCACTGGCCACGCACCACGTGTCACCAGTGACCTGGATAACGACACCTGAACAGGAGTTCAAAAAAGGTGAAGTGCAAACGATACGATCGGTGTTCGCGGGATATTTTTCGAGGGCATTTGATCCGGCGCCTGGTGCCTCAAGAAACCCGATAGGATGACGAAAACATGCTCAAATGTCCGAATAATCTTTGAAATTTTACTTAAAATCTGTTTTGGTGCCCCTGGAAGGTTGCGGAAGGTTGGCCGTACAACGGATCGTATTGTCACTTATATTGCTCAGCAGAACTTTCAGAACAAAACGCCGTTTAGCAATCGAAAATAAAACCAAACCTCGCGAAATAGCATCAATTTTAGTGCTTTTGGGTATTCCTTTCAATTATGAAATGTTCAGGCTCGTTGTGGTAGATGTAAGAATGGTCCATTTCGGCTCATATGTGTAACAAAATTCATGATTTGACGTTTTCTTTCAGAATCTGAACGGCACTCCAAAAAATTCGAACTTTTTGAAAAAAGAGGGCTTCCTTAATGTAGGCCATGTTCTTTTAGGGCAGCGTCTTTCTCGACCGATTTTGTAGCTGCATTGTGCAACGCTAGTTCTGCAAAACAGTAGGGTGAGACTACCAGCCATGGAACACTTTTTGAAAAATAAGCATTTTGCCCTTTCAAAAGGCGCAATTCCCGATTTTTTTTCGATGGGGCTTCAGGGTGTCTTTTTACCTATAAATGGCGCCATCGCCCACAGCTGCAGCTCAAAAAGTTCAAAAACTGTTTAGAAATTGCGGAAGGTCTAAAATTGATCCAAGTTTGGACCAGGGTATCACCCCCTCCTGCGTTTCGACACCTTGTAATTTTGTTACTTTCAGGGTCGTAAAATTTCGAAGTGGTACGTCTGAAGTCCATGCCTTTCAATTTTGGGGTCATTTCAATCATTGGTTTGTCCACAATCAGTCTTCTGAAAAACAGATATTTCCGCTTCCTTTATGGCAGGTGACACCTATGAACTACCATGTCAGAATGTGACATTATATACATAATGTGACACATGAAGGTGTCGACAGCTTGTTCTCTCCAGAAGCTCAAAAACCTTGAAACCAATTGTAGATATACACTGGACATCAAAATTAGCTCCCCACTTTGTCCCTCGCGCAAAAGTCTTGTTAGAATTGAGCTAGAAACTTGACATCCTGTACGTAGACGTTCCAAAGAGTTGTGTAAACGTCCCCAAAGCTGCAGCAGTCACACCCACCCCCTTGCGTCGTTTTCCATCCCTCGCGCACAACCTTGTTTAATTTTGACACTTAGGCCGTGGTCAAAATGACCTTCCAGGTGTCGACGGTTGCAACTTGAAAAGTCGACTCATTTTGACAACCCCTTTCGATCAAGCCCGGAGCCACCCCCGTAAGACGCACTGTTCCGGAGCCAGATTTCAGGTCTGTGGGCCACTGCAGCGTTGGATAACCTCCGGCTTAAATCAAAAAATTTCCAGGACTACCATTTGATTTCACCAGATAACCCCGCATTACCTCAGAATTTCCCCGGATCACCACCAGATAACTAAGAAATTTCTAGTTATCCGGATTACGTATTACCAATTTGCTGTACGCCGGATAACCGAAGTCGTTTCCCCCTCGCCCTACGCTCATCGTGCCATCTTGCGGAGCCCGGTCGACCCTGCTCCAACGGAACGCAAACTCTACAAGGGGCCGTGAGGTGGAATGCCAGTTTTGTGTTTTCTGATTGGACGCGTAGGTGACTTGGCACTGAACTAAATTTTGATTTCTTTGCCCGTTGCTCCAGTGGGGATGAAAAACTTTTTCTGTCTGTCTGCCTGTCTGTCTGCGTGTGTGTCCATACTACTCCTTCTGAACGGCTTGGCCAATCTGGCTGAGATTTTGCAGGGTCACTGGGTATGTTCTTTGCTCGCCACACGCCAAAATTCAGCTTTCTATCTCAATCAGTTCAGTCATACCAACCAAAAAACACTAAAAAAAACGGCAGAAAAAGTACAACTTTGTTGTAACTGAACTTTTAAAGCCAAGTTTTACATCGTTTTATATGTTTTCGAGGGTGCTGATGACGAAAATACAATCCATTTCCACCCCCTGACCCAGGTTCGAATCCCGTTAGAGTAGTTTTCGATCAAAATTTTTGTCATGAGCTTTTTATCATATCGTATGTTTCCGGGGGCCCTGATAACGAAAATGAGGCCCATTTTGAACCCAGACCAGAAGGAACTGCCGTTTAGGACGATATTCATCAAAATTTTCACCCAGCGTTTTGGAAACATGCTGCTTGAGCAGTGATCCCTCTGACTACACATGTGATAGGGGGGTCTGGGGGGCGGAGCCCCCCAGCATAGAACTAGAAACCGAATGCTGTTTCGACTTGTGATCACGTCGATATGTAGTCGTCGCCGCCTAGTAAAGACGCCTGCCGAAGGCAGGCCAGCGCCGCAGGCCAAGGTAGGTGTAAACGCCAGGCGTGGATTGTCGTAACTGGCGCAGCATCGCGAAGCCTGTTACGACAAGACAGGGTCTGGCGTACACCTACCTTGTATAATTCATAATGTGTCTTAAATTTCGTTCCGGTTCCGCACTCTTAACTGATTTCGTAGCCGCACGGCTGCTTTATCGGTCAAGAAAGACGGGAGTTTAGTGCTACCAGTCCAGAAATTTGCGACGCAGCCGATACTCCGCGCGCAAGAGACCATCCGAAGAGCAGCATTCAAAGAATTTGAGGCGCGGAGTATCGCCGCTCGGTGCTGAAGGCAAGGCTAGGGTTTGTGATCCAGATAATTGACTGCGGAAGCGTACCTTTCAGTCGCAAACCAACCGAATTGCCTAGAAGCGGACCTTCCCGTCCAGACAATTGTCTGGAAACCACCCGTTTCCAGACAGTTGCCCAGGTAAAAATATATTTTATAAAGGCTATTATAGGAATTTATATAATTTTATACGGATTTGTATCCAGTTTTATAAACTTGAATAAGGTCAAACATATAAATGTTTATAAAACTACACGGTGGTTTTTATAAACAGTTATTAAAAATTAATAAATTTTTATACAGAGGGTTGTATAAGGTCGAATAAATCATACTGGAAATGTATATATTTGTGACCAAGGCACCTTCTGTATAGAGTCTTATATAGATACTTTTATTAAGTCTTAAGTCTTTCTTTAGACTGTATAAAACTCGCCTTATAAAAACTTGTAATGCTTTATACATCTTTATAGACGTGTCTGTAACCACGTGTATAAGTATTGTAGTGATACGACATAAACATATTCACACATATGATGGCCACCATATTGTTCAAATATCACTGCCCTCTAAACCTAGTCATTCCCTCCCGGTACCAGTTACTACCCTGGCCTGCGAGCCATCAGGTATTCCCTCAACCCTTTACCCCCACTCTCAACCATATGTTCTTCTTCTTGTTACTCTTGTCCTGTTATAAAAGAGCCCGGCGCCAGACCGCCGACACCCATTCTGTACCTTGGTCACTTACTGTCAATACAGAACGCTATCTATCAACCGGACTCTTTCCTTATCCCTTTCCAAACCACCGCCACTGACGTAACTTAACAGTATATATAAAATTTCATACAATTTTTATAAGATTTTTTAAAATTACATAAAATCTTTATACAACCCATTTTTACCTGGGTGTCTGGCAAATGGGCCGTTTTTTCCCTATTCCCGACAATTGTCTGGCCGCGCAGCGACGATTCCAGACGATTGTCTGGAAAAAGACCAAGTATATCTAAAAAATCTCATTCAACGAACGTTAATGAAAGCAGATGATACTCGTTTGGTTTTCTTCTACGGGGTAGTATGGGCTCATTCCAAAGATATTATTTAAAAACTGAGCCCTTTGTGCCTTGGCCTGCGCCTGCACCGCCGCGCCGTGTCCGTTGGATTGCGAGCACCCGGTGCCCCTGGGCTGTAGCGGGGAGGGATTGTCAATGTTGCTCGCAGGCCGTCGCGCGCGAGTGGGGTTCCATTGTCGCGAATTCCGCGCAGGCTGCGCCGCAGCCAGCCACAGACAGCCGCACCATCCCGCCCCGGCAGCCAGCCCCTATTATATTGTTAGGATATGTACTTGGTTTTTGGACTCTCGAGTAAAAGCTAGCTGACACCTTTATGTATCTTGTAGTTGTAGTTTTAGGTATGTTTTTAAGTAAAGGTATCATCTGCTAAAAAAAAACCGGACTTGTGCTTTAAATCGACTTTGCTTCACAGAAATTGATTCGTCTCAGAAAGACAAACAAAAAGTGTGAACGCATGTCTTGAGATTGGATAAAAAATAAAAACGTTGCTGTAATTCAAAAGTACTAAAATGTTGTTTCATTCGAATTTAAAAGTTTTAAATGTGAACAACTGTTTCATTTTTCATCCAATCTTGTGACGTGTGATGACATTTTTAGTTTGTCTTGTTGAGACAAATCCATTTCGACACCTCCACGGAAGACTGGGCTACCTTCGCGCGGCCGGGGAAGACTGGGCCAGCTTCGCGCGGCCGGGGAAGACTGAGCTAGCTTTGCGTGGCCGGGGAAGACTGGGCCAACTCTCGGCGCCTGGGGAGGACTGGACTATCTTTGGGCGGCCGAGGAAGACTAGGCTACCTTTGCGCGGCCAGGGAGGACTGGGCTAACTCCCCGCGCCAGGGGACGACTGGGCTAACTTCGCGTTGCCGGGGAAGACTGGGCCAAGTGACATTTTGGGCAAAACTGAGTTATGTGCAATTTCGGAAGCAGCATTTCATCCTCAATCGTTTGGTGCCATCAGATTTTTTTAATCTCAATTCTGGCGTCCGTAAATTGCATTTAAAAACTGAACATAACCTCACACTCAGCCCTCGCGTTCGTGGAAGAATGGACTATCTGAAATGGGAGGCGGAAGACTGGGCTACCTACTGCGGAGGCGGGGGGGCGTCGTCGACGGACTTGCACCGGTCGGAGACCAGAGACATCGTTTCGTTAGATTGGGGTATGCCGTCTTCGTCAAGATGCCTGGATTTGGGAATAATGGAGCACGGTCGAAA